CCGCATATACTACATCCTTCTCCCCAAATCCTGTCTCCAGCTAGCCAAGGCATTCCCCCCATTCCTAAATTTGGTAACTTTTTAATGAATCAAGTAAGATTCACTAAAAGCTCAAAAAAGTGTGCAAGAGCAAGAATGTTCACAGAAGCAGGCCTCCAGCGGGCCCTGTGAGAGTCACTGCTCTTAGCAGGTCTGTGTACCAGTGTGCTGCTAGCAGTAAGTTAAAGATCTAACATAACCACCCAGAGAGGAGGCAGCTTTCTGCTTCTCTGTGTTTACATGTCCTCTGAGCACCACTGTGGCTTTGGAAGGAAGGGAACTCAGAACAGCAATTCAGACAGAGATGCAGCAAGCAGCTTTCTCCAGGAGTGTGTGCTTTGGGCTCCCTTTATTTCTCATCATACAGGATGATGGACAGCTTGAATACTGATATGCCCAAATTCCAGAGAATCTTGAAGCACCTTAAAAACTAATGGATTTATTTTACCTCTTTGTCTGAGGATTCACTTCATTCACCTAATGAAATGGGCCTCTTGACCTAAATCTGCTTCTGCTGCAATAGCCTTTTAAGATGCCACAAAGACTCCTTTTTTTTCTATCCCCCAAAGAGTTTGCAAAAGGAACATAATTTGTACGGCTCTAAGAGACGATTAAAATTTTGAGAGAGAAGCAAAGCAATGGAGATAAGGACTAATGAATTGTCCATCTTCACCCCCTCAATTTTAAAAAATACCTCCATATATCTACAAAACTGACCCACCTACACTTTCTCTCTCTCAAAGAAAATTGGCCACAATATTCAATGTGTCATATAGAGCATAAGGCCCAACTAACTGGTCAAAGGTCCATCTGGTTCAGCCGCTTGTCTCCCAGTGACACGCCCTTGGAAGGTCCACATGCCAGAGCAGAGTCTAAAGCAATTGCCTGTTGCTGTCCCCTTACTCCTGCATCTGGCATTCAGAGATGCCTCAAAATATGGAAGTGCCATTATTATGGGAGAAGAAAGTGCTCTTCACATTCCACATACAGTAAGGCCTATATCAAGTCCCCAGTTGAAATCACTTTTTTCCCCCTAAGCAGAAATGTTCCAAGCTATTCAACCTTTCGCCATAAGGTAGGGGCTCTAGCTCATTTTGGTTGCATTTTCCTGGCTCTACAATATTCTTTTTGAGTTGTGCATGTGAGGCACACATGGTTTTCTGATCTAATCCATACATGGCTTTCTAATCTATATTAGAACTGTCTAAACCTGTTAGGATTTTCAAGGTTCCCTGAGATCTAAAACTGCAAAAAAAGACATTGTGAAAGGAAACAGAATTTGCAGTGTAACTAAAATTATGGTAGCACCTAGATATGCCTGTCCCTCTTTTTCATGATGGTTCTCCCCCAGGGGAAACTATTAGAAATATTGGGATATTTAGCAGATTTTTAAGGTCCAACATTAGCCAAAAAATGGTGCTGTGTCTGATCACTGCTTTGCCCATCAGATTTCCAGACTAACAGACAGTTAAATTTTAAGCTTTAAAGGAAAAGTACTTTAAATGTTTGACTCAGTTTGTAATGGGATTAATGATGGGAAGACTTGATGTAATTAAGCTAATAGGAGGATCTCCTCTCTTGGGTTTTTAGTCAGTAGTGGGTTCTTTACTTTATCCCATAAATGTAGTTTCCCTTCCTTTTTCTTCTGTTATAGTTTTTGTAGTGATATAAAAAATAATAAAAAAATCCCCTCCGGGGGCTAAAAACACACACAAAAACAACTGTTGCCACAACAAGCAAGATCTACTAAACAGGGCAACCAAATGAGCTGAATGAGGTTTTATTTGTTCACAGAACATCTCATTGCATTTTTCCATCAAAGAGAGAAAACAAATGCATTTTGTCTTTGCTAGGAGATCGGTGTCCAGTGGATTTCGAGGGTTCACAAACTAAACAGCTTGGCCTGCAGGTAAGAGAGAAAATATTGGAGTAAGCAGTTGGGGTGGTGGTGATTGTGTTACATTTAACAATACAAGAGTAGTCAGAGCCTCAAAACCAGCATCCTGTCCTAATCAGTGCTTCCATTCTTAAGAACTTTCAGGATGCATATCTGAAACCAAGTACCAACAATCTCATAACTTCCCTTAAATTACTAATGGTCCAATAATTCCTTGTTAACTGTTAACTCCTGCCTCCTAGCACAAAGCCCCATTCCTGCAACAAAGACCCTGTATGCTCCAGAATCAGTTTTGCTCCGTTCTTCATTTTGGAATACTGGGAACTTTGAGAAGCTTTGTTGCTTCCTTCTCTGCTGTGAAATGTTCATAAACACACTCACCCCTGGGAGAGAGAAAGCATGGATATAACATTGTTTTTTTAAAAAAGCAGAGGAAAGGAGAAGATTTAAGCAACTAAGAAGGAAATTTCATACCAAGGGGCAGAAGAGAGGGTTTTCTGGGATAGGTATACTGCTAGATTGGAGGTTTATGGGACAGTGGAAGGCAAGTGTGGTTAATTGGGAGAAGCCAAGGAAACAATTTTGTGTATCAGTTCAGAAATAATAACTCAATAACGTCTGCATCCGGATTATTTCCAATACCAGCCTGGTGGCTGGAATAGTATGTATAACTCACATTTCATCCCCAGGATCACTCCCTATGAATGATGAGCCTGAGAAATAGCTCCTTTGTACACACTCTCACCACAATAACAATAGTTGGGGGGGGGGTAACTACAAAATGGCAGGTGTACACCAGTGTGGTGTAAGTAGCCACCGTGGTCTGAGGTATGGGGGCGGGGGGTTCAGATCTCCACTCAGCTGTGAAATTCACTGGGTGACCTTGAGCCAGTTGCTCTCTCTCTGCTCGCTTCTACTTTACAGGACTGTTGTGAGGCTAAAATGGAACTTAACTTGGAAGTCCTTAGGATAAAAATATAAAAACAAATAAGACACATCTTTATCAGGGGAAGATTCTTACCTCTCCTAAAGGCGGCTGCTGCTCAGTCATCTTTTTTAAACTTGCCATTGATATAGGGAACATAGTCTAGGAACAGCCTCCAATCTGTGCCCCAAACCAGCCCAACAGCACCCACTGCGCCCCACGTGGCCATCGTAGGGACCCTGCAGGATGAGACACCATGGTGAACTATCGTCAATGTTTCAGATGCCTAGGAGGTAGCGTTACTCTCCTCTTTCACTCCCCCCTCTCCCAAATTTTGAACTTGCATGGGTGGGGTACCCTGACCTGGATAGCCAAGGCCAGTGTAGTCTCGTCAGATCTTGGAAGCTAAGATGATTCGGTCCTGGTTAGTATGTGGACGGGAGACCTCCAAGGAAGTCCAAGGTTGCTATTCAGAGGCAGGCAATGGCAAACCACCTCTCAGCATCTGTCGCCTTGAAAATCCACTGGGGTCACCATAAAATGGCTGCAACTTGACAGCACTTTCTACAACCATGGAGGTGGGGTGGGAGGAAGAGGAGGATGTTAAGCTTTAAGACAACAGCACCAAAACTGCAGGCAAGGAAATTGAGGTATTCTGGAGTGGGTGTTAAGGTTTAATGAAGACTATGCAGTTGGGTATTGTGTGAAAAAATTGGGGAACTAGAGCTTGCCCTCTCCCAAAGTTTCAAAAGGTAGGAAGAAATAAGCGTGTGGATAAACTGAATGAGGCGGCCACCTGATCGGGAGGGACAACTAGACGGAGAAAAGGGGCTAATTTTGACAAAGGTTATAGACCCCTCACAAACAAGACAGATGTAAGCAAGGAAATCCCAGCCTCCCCAAAACAGAAAGGAAGCAACAGAAATCAAAGCGAATCAAACCAAGGTTTTTCCACACATGTAGTAGGGTTGCACAGTATGGTTTATGAATGTACTTGGATGAATGTTTTAGGGACTGTGGCCTATACTACTGTGTATAGCTTACTGTAAGTAGAATCCTATTATGTGATTTTTGTACCACTGAATGTGTTATGTTAATAAGTTGCTGTAGATTTTCCGGGTTGTGTGGCCGTGGTACATGTGGTACCACGGCCACACGACCCGGAAAATCTACAGCAACTAATGAACTCCGGCTCTGAAAGCCTTCGACAACATATTGTTATGTTAATACTTATGCTATGCTTCAGTTATTTCTGGTAGTTCCAGAATCCTAAAATCCTAATGGGAGCCAATCTGGTATAGTGGTTAAGTGCGTGGACTCTAATCTGGGAGAACAGGGTTTGATTCCCCCACTCCTCCACATGCACCTGCTGGATGACCTTGGGCAAGCTACAGTTCTGTCAGAGCTGTTCTTGAAAAAGAGCTGTTTCCTTCAGAGCTCTCTCAGCCCTACCTACCTCCCAGGGTGTCTGTTGTGGAGTGGGAAAGGGAAAGGAGTTAGTAAGCCACTCTGAGACACCTTTAGGTAGTGAAGGGCGGGGTATAAAGCCAATATCTTCTTCTCCACAGCATTAGGCAAGCCACATTAAGTTTCAGCCCCCTCTACCTACTTTACAATCCCCACACAACGGCAACAGTGCCATCCTAAGCAGAGCTTCACCCTTCTAAGTCAGCTGAAGTCAATACAAGGTTGTCATAACATCCACACACAGCTATGAGCACACTGAAAGCAAGGTATAATAATAATTCCAGAGAAGGTCCCCCTTTGGAGGGCACCTGGAAAGAAGCATTCCATAAGAAAGCAAAGGAGGGGGGGGGGAAGGAGGGGAAAGGCGATGTTACTAAGAACAATGAGAGGGAAAGGCAGGGAAGGGGCTCCAGACAGGAAGCACCAGCCAGTGGAGACCCAGACAAGCAAGCCTCCACCCCCGCCTTGCAAGAAACCCGTAAAAAGAGCACCCTAGTAAGGAAAGCAAGGGACGCAGAAGAGATGGGGAAGGGGGTTGGCAAGGAAGAAGAAGGGGGGGTCAAGGAAGGAACTCCAGACAGGGGACCCCCCCCCTTTTCAGAATCTTGTGGGAGGAGCCATCCCACCTCCTCTACCCACCAGGTGCGGAAGAGCTGTACATAGCGAGGTCCCACGTATTTGGTGATCATCCTTCCCGGACACCGTTGACCTAAAAGTCACCTTAACAACCCCGTTCCTCACGGCGCAAGCGCCTCAACGCTTTTGAAGGCGCTCTGTCTCCTCCCTTGCCAACAGAGGTAGGCGCGCGTGCGCACGGTAGGCCTAGGTTTCAGCGGGCGGATTGTTTTCCTGGTCGGAGGACCCCGCATCCGGGGGCTTTTCTTACATCGGTCGATTAATGGGGTTGTCTGCTACAGTGCCTGATGTGATTGTAAAATATTAACAATGTTTTCTTTCCCCCCCCCCCCCCCCCCCCACCACCTTAGAACCGGTCAAAGGATTTTTTTTTTTGCCACAGTTGCTGTGTATAGTAACATTTAAAAGGGGAGCTACATGCCACCTGGTTGGTTTAGAACAATAGTAATAATAATTTGTTGTTCAGTCGCACAGTCGAGTCCGACTCTTCGCGACCCCATGGACCAGATCACGCCAGGCCTTCCGGTCTTCTGCCGTCCTCTGAAGTTTGCTCAACTTCATGTTCGTTGCATCTATGACACTGTCTAACCATCTTGTCCTTTGCCATCCCCGTCTTCTTTGACCTTCAATCTTTCCCAGCATCAGGGTCTTCTCCAGTGAGTGCTCCCTTCTCATTTGGTGGCCAAAGTATTTGAGCTTCAGTTTCATTATCTGGCCTTCCAGATAACAGTCAGGGTGGATTTCTTTTAGGATTGACTGATTTGATCTTCTTGCAGTCCAAGGGACTCTCAAGAGTCTTCTCCAGCACCATAGTTCAAAAGAATCTATTTTTCGGCGCTCGGCCGGCCTTCCTTATAGTCCAACTCTCGCAGCCATACATGACTACTGGGAATACCATTGTTTTGATCCTTGTGGACTTTTGTTGGCAGGGTGATGTCTCTACTTTTTATCATGCTGTTTAGGTTCGCCATCGCTTGCCTCCCAAGGAGCAAGCGTCTTTTAATTTCATGGCTGCTGATGGGGCCGGATGCCATGATCTTAGTTTTTTTGATGTTGAGCTTCAAGCCCACTTTTGCGCTCTCCTCTTTTACTCTGAGCAAGAGGTTCTTTAGATCCTCTTCACTTTCAGCCATTAGAGTGGTATCATCTGCATATCTGAGGTTGTTGATCTTTTCCCCAGCAATCTTAATTCCCGCTTGTGATTCATCCAGGCCAGCATTTCGCATGATGTACTCTGCATATATATTAAATAAGCAAGGTGACAGTATACATCCTTGTCGTACTCCTTTTCCTATGCTGAACCAATCAGTTGTTCCGTATCCGGTTCTAACTGTCGCTTCTTGGCCCTTATACAGGTTTCTCAAGAGACATGTGAGGTGGTCTGGTACTCCCATCTCTTTAAGGACCTGCCATAGTTTGTTGTGATCCACACAGTCAAAGGCTTTAGCATAGTCAATGAAGCAGAAGTAGATGTTTTTCTGGTACTCTCTTGCTTTCTCCATAATCCAGCGAATGTTGGCAATATGATCTCTCGTTCCTCTACCTCTTCGAAACCCAGCTTGTACTTCTGGCAGTTCTCTATCCATGTACTGTTGAAGCCTAGCTTGTAGGATCTTGAGCATGACCTTGCTAGCGTGTGATATGAGTGCAATTGTGCGATAGTTTGAACATTCTTTGGCATTGCCCTTCTTTGGGATTGGAATGTATACTGACCTTTTCCAATCCTGTGGCCACTGTTGCGTTTTCCAAATTTGCTGGCAAATTGAGTGCAGCACTTTAACAGCATCATCTTTTAAGACTTTGAATAGCTCAGCTGGGATACCATCACCTCCACTAGCTTTGTTGTTAGTAATGCTTTCTAAGGCCCATTTAACTTCACATTCCAGGATGTCTGGCTCGAGGTCAGTGAGTGGTTGTCAAGGACATCGAGGTCTTTCTTGTATAGTAATAATAATACAAACCTCGAATTCCACAATTTGCAAACAGGCCTCTCACCCCATCTGCAAACCCTGCTCTACCTACACTTGCAAAGCACGCCCTCTTCTTCTTCTTCTTCTTTTTTATTTAAAAGCTTTATTTCCTCTCCTAAAAAGGAGAGATATTTCGCTTAGTTGGAAAAGGGGAGGGTATATAGTGGGATCAAGAGAAAGGTGAGTGATGTTTTAACTGGTAAAGTTAATCTGTTAGTAATATTAAAATTTTCTTCTTTGGCTTCTTCTGTGTGTTGTCAAACTTCTTTTTTCAAACCGGTTAAATGGATTGTCTATGTTAATGTATTAGTAGTGTCCCAATGGTGCTCCGCTAGCAAAGTCTTTCCAACGATTTTTAAAACGATCATCTACAGGCTGGCTTCTTTTAATCTCCTAATTCAGGCAGGAGCTTCCTCTGTTTACTCCTCTCCGGTTTCTCGGCTCCTCCTCTGGGTCGCTGCTTCCGCTGTCTGTTTGCAAACTGCAAATGCCATAGTCCTTGTTCTCTCGTGCCTCTTCAAAAGGTCTCTGGCTTTGAGAATGGTTTTCTCCTTTTTCCATCTCTCACTTATATGTTTAAACGCTGCCATTCTCTTAGCTGGACCTTCTCTCCGCAACTGTTGACTTATAAAAGTGCTTTTCAGGGCACTTTCTCGCTTGTCACAGCTCATTTCTTTTCTCACAGTCCCAGTCAAGGTCACAGTCATACGCAATCTGTTTATTTAACAGCCGGCAGAACAAAAGATGAAACGACTACACCGGAAGCTCCTCCTTTCTTGTTCGCTAGTTTCACCGCTCAGCTCCGACATCTTGCTTTTTTGTTTACTTTTATTAAAGTTCAAATATCGCTTTTTTGAGACAAAAATCTTCTAGCCTCATCCCCCACGCACCAAAAGGGACCACTTCTCTTTTCAAATTCTATTCCTCCCCCCCTTTTTCTTCGCTCAAAATCTCTGTTTGCGGGAGAGGGGGTTTCCCCTCCTTCTCCTTTAAGTCTTTTCGATGGGGGTGGGGGAACGCGCTTAATTCTTTTTCCAGTTCGATAACTCACAGTTTCAGCCGCTCTTATTCCTTTTCATCGTTCAATCGCTTCATCACTCGGTGACATCTGGTGGCTCCGCTAAACCCCGTATGGGGTCGCTTACGCGGCGAGGTCCATTGGGGCATGGCGGGCGCCTCAATTTCCGACCATTCGGCCGAGAAATGGGCTCCCGCCTGCGCGCCCCGGGTCAGAGCCCCCTTACTGGGGCTCTTCTGGGTCTCCGCTCATGCGGATTCCCCCCTCGGCCGCGGGCGGGCGAGACGCCCTCGGGAGCGCCCCGAGGATGCGTCCGCCATTCGCGGAAGCCAGACCGGAAGCCACCAAAGCACGCCCTCTTCTGTTTGCAAACTGCACCTTTAATCCTGTTTGCAAATCAAACCAAGACATCTTTCTTTAGGGTTGCCAGGTTCAGGTTGGGAAACTCCTGGAGATTTGGGGGTGGAGCCTGGGGAGGACAGGGACCTCTTCAGTGGGATAGAATGCCATAGAATTCACTCTCCAAGACAGCCATTTTCTCCATGTGATCTGATCTCTGAAGTCTGGAGATGAGGTGTAATAACAGGGGATCCCCAGGATCCACCTGGATGCTGGCATGTGTGTCTAAGAAAATTCCGATGGTACTGTAAAAACTAACATTTATTCCAGCATGAACTTTTGTGGGAGACTAACAAAATTTGTGGTAGGGTATGAGCTTTTGTGAGTCACTGCTCACTTCTTCAGATGAGTAGTGACTCACGAAAGCTCATACCCCACCACATATTTAATTAGTCTTTAAGGTGCTACTGGACTCTTACTTTTTTACTGCTCCAGACAGACTAACATGACTACCCATCTTGATCTATTTTGTGAGAGAGCTCACTGCTTCAGATACAGTGGAAAGGAAATCATTTTTGTATGTAACTAAGCCAGAACAAGGAACCAACAGTGTGTTTCCTCTTGCATTCAGATTTGTGGGCTCAGGACTTCATTATAGAAACTGCCCAAACCGATATTCTCCCGAGCGCAGAAGAATAGATTCTTTTGAACTATGGTGCTGGAGAAGACTCTTGAGAGTCCCTTGGACTGCAAGAAGAACAAATCAGTCAATCCTAAAAGAAATCAACCCTGACTGTTCCCTGGAAGGCCAGATAATGAAACTGAAGCTCAAAGACTTTGGCCACCCAATGAGAAGGGAGCCCTCACTGGAGAAGACCCTGATGCTGGGAAAGATTGAAGGTCAAAGAAGACGGGGACGGAAAAGGATGAGATGGTTAGACAGTGTCAAAAATGCAACGAACATTAAATTGAGCAAACCTCAGAGGACAGCAGAAAACAGGAGGGCCTGGCAGGATCTGGTCCATGGGGTCGCGAAGAGTCAGACTCGACTGTGCGACTGAACAACAACAACAAACTGATATCCCTTTGTGTTGCGCTCTCACAGAACCCAGGGAAATGTTCCAAGCATGGTGCCAAAAACAAGATACAACTGTTGCAGTGAAGGAACTGATTTTAATTCAACTCTGAATCCCCTGTGGGTTTTGCATATGCTTCATCAGGGGGTCTGTAAAATCTCATCTGAACAGCCTCCACAGTTTGGCTCAAACTATTGATGTGGGAATGGTTCAAACAATATTTTACAGATCCCCCTACATTTGCTAACTCCTGGTTGAGAATTTGGAAGTGGGGCTGGGGGGCTGGGGAAGGCAGGCTTTGAGAAGAGGAGGGATTTCAGTCTGGTATAATGGCATAGACTCTACCTTCTAAAGCAGCTGTTTTCTCCAGGGGAACTGATGTTTGTTGTTTGGCAATCAGCTGTCATTCTGGGAGATCTCCAGGCCCCACCTGGAGGTTGGCAGCCTTATGAAGCATATGTAAAATGCATAGAGGTCTCACAGCTAAATTCTCCCACTGTATCACTTGTCTCTTGTTTTTGGCTCTGTGAATGTTTCCTTCAGTGAAAACTATTGGGAAGGTCTCAAGCTAGCTCATGGTTGGGGGGAAGGGATATGTTAGAGCCCTGACATTCCAAGTTCCAGAAATAGGGTCTGTGTACACCTGTCTAGCAGGACAAGACAACAGAAGGAACTTTTCCTTTCTTCCATCAAAGTCCCATAGGACAATGCTTTTGAACAGCAGAAATAGCTGTAACCTAAAGGATGAAAGGACTGAAAAAAATTAGCTACAAAGTAATTTGGGTTTTTAAATCTCAAAGTAAACAATT